TTGGGGTCCTGGGGGGATGGGGGGCACAGATGGGGGAGGGGTCTCCATCCCTCGGGTTTTGGGGTCCGGGGGGGGTTACCTGGTCGGGGCTGAGGCCGGGGGGGGCCCAGGCGAACTCCTCGGCCGAGCACCCCGAGTCCTCGGAGCCAGGGGGCGGGTGGGACTCGGGGAGCAGCCGGGCCAGGACCCCCTGCAGCGCCGGGGGGACCCCGCCCCCCACGTGCTCCCCCCGCGGGCATTTGCAGTGCTGGCAGATCTTCCTGGGGGCGCCCCGAAATCCGGTCAGGGGACACCCCGAAATCAGTCAGGGGGCGCCCCAAAATCCAGGATTGGGGCACCCCGAAATCTGATCATGGGGCACCCCGAAATCCGGGCAGGGGGTGCCCCAAAATCTGATAACGGGGGCACCTGAAGATCCGGTCAGGGGAACCCCAAAATCTATAACAGGGCAGCCCAAAGTTTGGTAATGGGGCACCCCAAATTACGGTCATGGGGCACCTCAAAATCTGTAATGGAGCACCCCGAAATCCAGTCACGGGGCACCCCAAAATCTGATAATGGGCACCCCAAAATCCATAACGGGGCACCCCAAAGTTTGGTGATGTGGCACCCCAACATCTGCTCATGGAGCACCTCGAAATTCAGTAATGGGGCACCCCAAAATCTGATAATGGGACGCCCCAAAATCTGCAATGGGACACCCCAAAATCCGGGAATGGGGGCGCCCCAAAATCCGGGAATGGGGCACCCCAAAATCCGGGAATGGGGGCGCCCCAAAATCCCCCTCCCAGCCCCGGGGGTGCTGGGGGCACCCCAAAATCCCCCTCCCATCCCCGGGACACCCCAAATCCCGCGGCAGCCCGGGGGATGGGGCACCCCAAACCCGGCTCACCTCCAGGGGTGCTCCTGGAAGCCGGGGCAGAGCTCGCGGCACGCGCGGCACGGCCGGCCCCGCTCGGGGTCCTGGGGGGGTCAGGGCACCCCAAAAACGCACTGGGCTCAGGGCACCCCAAAATCGCTGCTGGACCGCCCCCCCGACTCCCCCTTTTCTGTCCCCTCGCAGCGATTTGGGGGATTTTGGGGCTCCCAAAGCATCCCCAGAGCCCCCCCCCAAAGCACCCCAAAACCCA